CTCCATCCTTCGAGACTTTTAAGGCCCAGCTCAAAGCCCTGGCTGCGATGATGTAGTTGGGGCTGGTCCTGCTCTCACTAGATGTGACCTCCTGAGCTCCCTTCAACCCTCACGTCCTATGATTGTAACTGGCTGTTTTACAGAGCTCCAGGTGGCTCTGAGGAAAGGCTTTTGTACCTTGGCTTTGTTTTTTCATCTTGCCTATTAATTGCTTTTAACAGTCAAACAAGTCAGTAGTTCCAGTTTGTGCAGCATATGCCACGTGGGGGGAGCCAAGGGTGGGAACATGCCATCTAACATCTCATTTGGGTGTTATCGTATTTTTTAGTTAATTGCCAGGTAGTTTTCGGAGTCAATGCCCCCACACCCCGGGGGCTCTTGGCATGAGATGGCACCAGTCACCGAAGCACAGCTCCGAATGCAGGTTGTGGCCAGGCTGACTGGGAAATCCTGGCTAACGCGGGTGGTAAAACTAATGTACTCCCAACATGAAATGGAACTTTGCAATTCAAGTGGGTGATCAAAAAGCAGCAGCCATCTTTGGGAATGGGTCACAGACCACCAGGCTGCGCTGGTGGCGGCCGCGGGGAAGCAAGAGCAAAACTCCACTGCATGTGATTTGCTTTTTAAATTTAATAGCCGCTTCTCTAGCACATCACTGGGCAATAATCATCCTGAGTCCCTCACGTGGTGCTGAGACCTAAAGCACCTGGACAGCGGCGGGGTTCACTTCGCCTTTCCGGGGGAGTCGGGGATGCTTCCAGCATTAGGCAAGGCACAGGGTCCCTTACAGGCCTGGCTTTGCCTAAAAAGTGTGTCCGTTCCATGCAAATAGTCCAGGAGCCCCACAACGCCATAGCACTGGTTGAACCTGGTGACCAGAGAAGAAGTGCAGGTCACACAATTATAGTGTGATAACCACAGCCTGGTGCGGCCATTTTCCCTCTGCTCTTGGACCCCATCTCCCGCGTGGAGCTCCAGCAGTTCTGTTCAGTATTTCCTGAGCTAAACCAGTCTCTGCTTGGCAGCCTGCTGGGACGTTTCTGGTCTGGTACTTAGAGAGGCCGGGCAGAGGATGTTGAGCAAGAAGTGTTACCTGTCCTCAGGGACTCGGGGAGGGTTTTTGCTGCCATCCCCATATTGAGCAGGGGCCTGGGATGGAGACCCCAATCTACACTTGATTCTCAAGCCACTGTGCACCTCTTTCACACTCAGTTGTGATACTCCCAGAGCCAGGGGAGCTGTGAGCTGGCTCAGGTCTGCGGGGATCCCTACTCCTGGGAGAAGATGATGCTCTAGTACGAGCACCGGCTGGGGCTTCAGATGTTGCCTGGACTTAGGCTGGCACTGAACAGTCTTCCTCCTTGTTTCCACAGGGCAGGGGGAGCCACGATGGAGACGGCACTGGTCAGTGACCTGAGCACAGGCCTAGGAGCCAGGGATCCGGGTGAGCTCCTCTTGCAGCCATGATGCTCCTTGCTCCATGCATCTTTAGGCAGTCTCTCCACCCATGTTATCTTACTGTAAAATGGGCTATCACTGGATGTGTGTCACTTGACATGGGCCAAGCATTACCTAACTGCAAAATACATAACTGATGCCTGGCTTTGTCCTCCCCCCCGGTGCACAGACATGCCAGGTGCAGCGTTCCCCCGCTGCTCTAGACAGCAGCAGTCCACCTGCCCAGAAGATCCTCTGCAAACGTATGGTTGATGCTAGAGATTGCAACAGCCCCGGCAACGTCTCCTGAGCTGCAGATTGCCCTCTTTCCTTGGTACAACCCAAGGGGCCTATTGTTTTCTGCTCTGCAGCTCAGAGTCCAGCTTCACTGACCAAGAGCCACAGAAAACCAGTGATGAGTCTCAAGGTTGCAGAAAGCATCAGTCCCCGAGCTGGGTTGAGAAGCCAGTCCTCTGCAGTGTAACCCATTTGGTTCTTATGTCTGCTTTATGTATGTTAAGGCTAAAAGCATATTTGCACTGCCTTATTTGGCTAATTCATCTGTGTTCACAGGCTCTCTTTACTTACTGACCACTTTCAGATCCACCAGGGATGGGGTGACCCCATGCCCAGAGAAGAGGCACTACAGAGCCAGTATAAGGGACTTACCTGAGGTGATGGAAGTCGTGAAACTCTGGCGAGGGGAGAAAGGGCAGGTGGTAGCCGCAGTGCGAGATGCTTGTCACCACGAGTGCAATGCAGACCCACAACATAGTTGAAGTGATATGGGATCGCAGGAGGATTGGCCCAACCATCACAGGCACTGTGTTGGAGAGCTAAGATTTAAAAATAAGCCTGCCATGTTAAACTGTCCGCTCAGCTGGTCCAAATGCCATCTCTTCTCACTGCAGCTGCCCTCAGAGGCTGGGACCTGTCTGTTAGCAGTGATGGGGCAGTCCCAGAGAGAAATATCCTGCTTTGTGCAGCTTACTGTCCTTGAAACGGCTGCACCAAAGAACCAACAGGATTTGCTCCAGGCCCACACACTTTATCCACCTGAGCCCATCGCTGCAGGCCAGGCTCCTTCAGAAGCCCCCTAATCTTGCCTGCCTCTTGCTCCAAAAGGCCAAAGGAGCAAGCTAGAGAGCAATGCCCCATGACCATAAATTAGGTGGCAGAGATCCTCACGTTTTGGAGGCATTTGTAGATGCTCGCAGGGGTCAGCCTGCCCACAGTGCACAGGACAAGCCTTCACCCTCTAACTGCACCAAATCATTCAAGGCTGAGAAGAGTGTGGGGGGTCTTCCCTGCCAGGTAATTAAAACCTTGATCAATAACCCCTTCATGGTATCTCCCCTGCCAGAAAGCAAGCCTCTTTTTGTTTGCTCTCTGAGCAGGAGGTTTCATCCTTGCCTCCCTCCACCTATCAAGCTGTCCCACAGGAGCACGAAATCACCTTATGCACAGTTTACAATGCTATTACCCTGCAGACATTCCCCTGCAGCTCCTGTGTATGTTCATTAGCCTACGTCCTGCCTGGATGTTGTGTGGCTAGACAAAAACCCACAGCTAGCGGGTGCACCTATGCTCTCACAGGAGCCGTGACCCTGATGCAGCTCTGTGACTCCTGTGAGTGCCCAGGACACCACAACAGATCACGGGCGATGTTGTTCAGGCAAGGACACTGGCTATTAGGAAAGGCTGGGAGGGAGGTGTTAGCCTTCCAAACTACAACTGTGAGATGCTGTTCAGCGCGGGGGGCAACTCTTGACATGGATGTATTTAGCTGCCGTACACACTCAGAGGTTGCTTTTCTCTAAACGTCCCCCCCCCACCCCCGGTGTCTCTGCCATGATGTTTCCTGTAATTTCCCTTTGCTAAAATCCTGGCCTTAGCTGCATCTCCAGAAGTAGCATGCACATGCACTCAGGAGGCCCTGTACAGAAGGTCACAAGGCCTTACACTGGGCCTTTCCTGCCATTATGGGATTCCCCAGAAGAAAGGGGCAAGTGGGCAGCTGGTCTTCTCCATCGCATTTGCTCTGTGATGGGGCCTACGTGACTGGTTCTTGGGCAGTAGCCCCCAGAGCGTCCACTTACCAGGTGCTCTACTGGATGGCTGTACAGGGCGACCACGCTCACAGGGGCTGTCCATTCATGGTGCTTCTTGTGTATATGCTTATACAGAAGTGGGTGATGAAGAAGCCTGAACAGAGAGAACCAGAAGTAGAAGCCTGCCTGTTAAATCCAATAAATGATAACCATGCAGAAGCTAAGCCTGGGCACAGCATGTTAAGATGGGTGGGGCCTTATCCTTGCTTGTACACCTATGTAATCAACAGATAGGGGTCCAAAGTAGATGGATGACTAGCTCTCCTCAGGTATCTGTATTAAAGGCCATTAAAAGACCTCGCCCTTTTTGGGGAAACGGAGCCACTAGTAGCCCCTGCTACCCCAGGATAGAAGGACTTCTGGGTTCTAGGCTCTGGCCCCACAGTTGTCTTCAATGTGTGTTTAATCCTACGAATGCTTTGCAGAAGGGAAGTTGTCCTTTACCTTGCATTGGTTGACTTTAGATATAAGCAAACTGCACATGAGAAAGTACCCAGCTCCTGGCTCTCCTGGGTGCTAGCACTACATAAAGAAGTCATGCAGTGAAGTGCTTTTCTTAGCCTGTGACCTAGTCAGAGAATTGTAGAAAATGAGGATTGGAGGGGATATCAGGAGGTCACATCTAGTCCAACCCCCTGCTCAAACCAGGACCAGCCACAACTAGATTGTCCCAATCAAGGCTTTATCTAGCTGGGTTTTAAAAACCTCCAAGGATGGAGAGTCCGCCCACCTCTCTGGGCAACCTGTTCCAGTGTTTCACATCCCAGTTGGGGATGCTCCTGTACTGAACCACCCACCTCACTGCACCCCCCCCCCCGAAAACCAAGCTTCAAGTGTCTCCCTTGGGGTGGCTCACATCTGGCCGATCCCCTCCCTGGAGCACACCTGGAAGCCTGGGGTACTGCTGCCTGGACTCAGGTCTTTGGCTGGGCACTGTGCCACCTGGGTTACACAGGCCCTGTACACCTTGGGATTTTGGGATGCTTCTATTAGCCTGAAGCTGTCACCAGCAGCCTCCCATTCAGGAGGAAAGTAAAGTTGCTGAGCCCACCTTAGCAGGTCCCTTCCCTCTTAAGCACACACAGCGAGGGGTGCTAAAACAGGTAGATTTATTGATCCAAGAGGGATAGGGTGGGGAAGGAATACCAATAGCAAAATATAGAAAGAAAAACCATCCTTGAGCAAATCTGAGTGGCTTGTCAGCCTTTTGATACACGACTATATTACAGTCAACTAAGTTCCTAGTTAAGTTTCTGTTCAGTTACTCATTTCTGCATCCAGAGAATGAGAGAGAGCTGCGGTGGTCCCTGCTTCAGTGTGTTTTAAAATGCCTGCCCATTCTTCCTGGAGGGACCCTCTTAAATAGCCCTCCTGCCCTCACTACCTGGACCCAGGCAGGGACAGGTGCCATTTGATGCCAGCCAATTAATTTGAAAAACACTGCAGTTACCTAATGGAGTGACACGGGCGTAAGCCCCTGCCCCTATGTCATAAAGTCAGAGCTCAAGACAATAGAGTGGTTAAATTCACACTATCTTACCTGAAGCCGGTCGCATAGGTAGTGGCAGTGAGTTGGCTGCCTACCAACTGAATTGATTGACACATGTGAGTGAGAGGGGGAACAGACCACCCCCAAAGAGAGAGGAGGTTGGAAGGGGATTCTCTCACACCCTCCTCATGAGAAAGTTTTTCCTAATATCCAACCTCAACTTCCCTTGCTGCAGCTTGAGCCCATTGCTCCTTGTCCTGCCATCTGCCCCCACTGAGACCAGTCCAGCTCCATCCTCTTTGCAGCCCCCTGCAGGGAGTCAAAGACCCCCTCAGTCTTCTCTTTTCCAGACTAAATCAGCCCAGTGCCCTCAGCCTGTCCTCACAAGTCGCATGCCCCAGCCTCCCAAACCATTTTCATTGCCCTTCTTTTCAGTCTTAAGCTGTAACAGCACAGAGGCCCATTCCCCTGCTCAGGTCCTGTCCAACTTACCGGTGCGAATAGTAGAAGAGAATTTCCTCTACCAGGCCAAAGATGAGCAGCTCTATGAGGACCCATCTGAACGTGGGCAATTCTTCTCTGCAAGGGTCCCCCCACCATTTCACGATGGGGAAAGTGAGCACCACCAGTGGGACAGAGATGAAGACGAAATTAAACACCACTGTGCAAACAGCCTGGAGCAGCTTTTTTGTATCAACCTATATGAGTAGAGGAGAGATGAGCTCGGTGACCAAAATGAAACCCTGGGGGTTTGGGGCTAAGAGGAGGGGCCCTTTGTCAAGACTCAAAGGCCTTTTACACTGGTATAGCTCAGTTGCTTCACTACTTTCTGGCTGCCCTGGGGTTCCCACTGGTGCTTAACTAACAGGGGTGGTGCAAGGGATGAATGCCTAAGTCAACAGGAATGCATTTCACTGCAAAGCAGCAAATCACGCATGGTTTACCATCCGCAGAGGATGCTTTCCACCTCCTTGTCGGAGGGGCTGAAACTGGGTCAGGAACTTTTTGCATCGCTCTGGCTCTAAGTCACAAGGCTTGCCTGGCCATGGTGTTTTCTGGCACTCCCCATTATTTAAAAGCTGCCAGAAACAGAGCATGGGAGTCAACTATGGGTGAGGGAAAACACATGCACCTACTCAAACACCCCCTTCTCACAGGAGGGGCATAGTCCCAGGCATGCTCCTTGACCCTCTTGCTGCTAGGGTGTTGCTCCATCTTGCGCTAATAAAAACAACGATAGATCCACCCATGTGTCTCAACAGAGATGATCCTCTTATTTCAGGATCCTCCTTTCACAAGGGCAGCCTGCTTCTTGTTCACACCTGTGGGACGTCCAACTGAGAAGTGGTGGCTAAAGCACTCTAGTCTATAACTTGAACTTTCCAACAGATCTTAATACAGATCTTCTTGAGATCATCAGACTACCGGGGCGTGTAATTTGGCCTCTGCACCTGTCCCAGCACTTTCAAAGAAGCTGTAACCATCTTTAGTGAAGCCTGTTAACTCCCAAGGTGGGCTGAGACTCTCCAGTGCTTTTGGAGTGGATCATGATGGGTGCAGAGCAGTGTTGTGCAATGTGCTTACACAGCTACACATAACCCTGGACTGTTTTGACAAGTGCACAACTGCACGCTAGATGCCTCACTTTGCATATCACATCTACCCAAAGACCCTTGTCTGCCTATATCCCTAGACTAATACTAATAAAAGATATCACAGCTACCCAGAGACCTTTGTTTGCACTTAAGAAGAGGTTAATTCATTATGAGGAAGCCTCTGAGCTGCAAGGTGCATATAAGCAATCCCCTGGTTCTAGCTAGTATACTGCAGCACACAGTGGGGAGGAGGGCATGGGTGCACCTGCGCACCGTGGAAGGCCAGTGGAAAGGAAACGTGCAAGCCTTGCTCCTCTTAGACATCTGTGTCCTTCCTGAAAGCAGGCGGCCAGAGGATACAGCCCTTCCCTCCTCACAAAGTGCCTATGAACTACCAAACCTAGTGCCTATGAACCCCCCTGTGCTGCATTTCCTACCCTCTGCTTTTCTTTTTTTGGCACTGGTATGCTATACTAACGGCATGTGAACGCACAGAGACCCTGATCCAGGTCTGGGTAGTGCAGCTACATAAGAAAAATAGCCCCATCCCCTGAAATACTTGCAAATGACATGGGCAAGTTAGACATGAAGTGCAAGGAAGACAGCAATGGCTTTGTTTCATAGATATGGGAGCAGATACAGAAAGTGGCTGACTTGCCCATGGATGTGCAGAGGTCATGTTACTGAGAATGGATTCGAAATCTCCTCGGTCCCAAGCCACTATCCCAGTAAAGAAGAGCCTCAGACAGTGAGCAGGGTCCTCCTCCCTTTCTCTCTCCCCTTAGGCTGAGGAAGTGTGGGAGCTATTCCTCCAGCTTTGGAAACAGTGAGAAATACGTACGGGGTCGTTTTTCCCCAGCTGAATTCGGTAACGGGTGATGAAATTGGGCTTGCCAGTCACATCAGCCACCATGTAGACTCCATTGACGCACCAAAAAACAAGGAACGGGACCAGCAGTGTCCCTGTGGCAGAGAGAAGAAAAGACGCAAGGGACAGGCGGCTATGAATAAATAGGAGTCTCAGGAGATCGGCAGTCATTTCCAGTGCAGTGCCATGCAGAGGACGGTGTCATTTGAAAGCGACTCACCCAAAAAGTAAATGGCCTGTTCGTTCGCACCAAAGAGGTGGTAAACTTTCTGCCACTGCATCTGCCAGAAATGGTCTGCAGGCTCCCAGCTCTTCTGCCTGGTCCTGCAGGGAGAAATCCTCACAATCACACAATGTTCAACATGTCGTTATCAAAATTGTGACCCCATTTCCCCGCTCCCCATTGAGATCCATCAAGCCATGGTGGCTGAGTGGTCTTACCAGGCGGCAGAATTGCTGAAGGCACCAAACAGGAGCAGGCTTGTGCCTGTTATGAAGGCAGATGTCTTCATGGTGGCCAACACTTTCCCTTCCTATGAGTAAGGAGCAATGTAAGCTCATCTCTGCTGCCATGGACTAGCCGTTCTAGTTTAGTTAAACTGACAGGTGCAAACGGAAGAGCTGGTCCTAGGATGCCAGACCCAGGTCTGTCTGGGTCAGGGTTTTTTCAGTCCTGCCTGTTTCTAGCTAGTGGGTTGCTTATCTGTTAGTGTAAGCCACTCTGCACCTTTCTGGATAAGGTGGGATATAAGTCTAAGCAATACTAACAGGACAAAAAGCCAGTATTGCACAGAAATTCCTTTCAGCTAGTCCAAGGTTTAGGGAAAAAAATCAGTATTATATGAACACATTCATATAATATAAGACATTCACTGCAGGAGCAGATATATAGCAGACTGATGAAGTTGTGCCAGGTAAGAAATGGTATTTTAATAAGAATACAAACACGTGCATCTGTAGCGAACATGAGACTGAGGAGGAAACATATCTATCATACTGTTAGCCACGAGGAATTCACTTATGCAGCCCTTAAGATAGGATGGATTAATTTAAATCACAACCTGGAAAGCTTCAGTTTAAACCCCTGATTTGAATCTTTTCCCTTTTTACTGCAGTTATTCTCTAACAAGAGGTGCCCTCTCAGTGGCTGATACAAAAAGTACAGGTACAAGTTTTAAAACAACCAGAACCTTTATTTTACTGTTGTTGCAGTTGCTCTTGCTACCTACTAGGGTATACTGTAACTGGGCATTTATTTAAGCCATTACAAAGCTGAATATTTTCAAATTCTTATTAACTGTGCAACTTCAGGGTGTTAGAAAATGGTGAATGATATAGAGCTTCTTTACTAGATAATTAACCTGTTTCAGGATTTGTGTCAAGCAGCCGCCTTAGGATGGTAGTTGGACTTTAATTAACGATACAACAGCATGTAACACATTATGTTTATTAAATACAGCCATAAAGGTTCAGGATACACATCTCTTATCAACACATCGGCCATATTCACAACTAAATGGCTTATTGAACAGAGGGCTTCATCGTCAACAGCGAAGTAAACTGATTGTTGCAGGTTAGCTTGGAAAAATCAAATTGTGTTCTCACCTGTGAAGGAGTTCGGGGGAGTGAAGAAAACAGCCTTCCCCGGTGTCAAAAGCTGACTTGACTTAACACCTCCACTCACTCAAGTTCCCAGTGTTTTGCTAGTGACGCCTGTCAGTTCAGGAGTGTGACTTTCATTCTTCAGCAAGCTTGTATGGCTCCCACCATTCACCGCCAGCCCAGAACTGTGTTATGGTGGGTGTGACTGTTAATGATTATTACATGCCTATGCCGTAATAAACATGTCATCTTCCTGAGCAGCGAGGGACCTCCTCTGATTGAGACTGCTGACAAGAAAGAGAGCTGGCATAGGTGCTTGAGCTACATTCTCCTTTCATGTCTGCAATTTCGCTTTATTGGTGGGTAGGTCTTCCCTCAACATCTCTTGGAGTCCTTTCTACGTTTTAGTACGGCAGCAGCAGCTGTCTTTCGGTAGTCTACCCAAGGAAATCGGTTCAGCCGTATGCAGCAGTTCTTCTGCATTTCTTTTTAATCCAACATAGAACTGGGACCAAGTAGTCAAATCTATTTTGTTATGATTTTTGTCACAAATCATCGTGAGCAAAGGCAAGGAAAGAGAGGTCGTTACTGGCTGAAGTCAGGCAGAAAGCAGGGGGGAGTTGCACCTCAGAGACTGAATCAAGGCCCCCTGCCACATGTTACACTTAAGAGAGGATTAACCAGTCATGTCTAATTGGGAGGAGATCTTAAGTTAGGTTGCCCAATATTTGTCCTGGGCAAATATTGTTCTGTGTCTTCATTCACGATTTGGAGTATGGGATTGAGCACGTATTTCGCAGGTTTGCTCATGACACCAATATGACTGCAGTTGCAAACGCTGTGGTGGGTAGGATTACAGTTCAGAATGACCTTGGTAAATTAGAGAAACGGTCCAACATGAATTGAATGAAATTTGATATAGATATGTGCAATGTCCTGCATCTTGGATGCAACAACTGCATACAGACATATGTGTAGGTCTTGACATGACCAATGCTATTTTGAGGCATCCCAATACCATGAGCTGGATATAAGGCAAGCACAAAGCAGCTTGAGGGGATGACTGACCTGGCTGAACTATATGAGTCAGGGTGTTTTTTAGCCTCCCCAAGAGGCACTGAGTGTTGGTTACAGCTAAGGCTGGGGATTGCAATGGGGCTGTGCCTATTCTCCTGCTAGCTGGAAGCTCCTGGCTAAAGGATCTCCCCCACCCCACTCAGGCTCAGACCAACCATCATAGTTGGGGGCAGAAAGGAATTTTACCCATGGCCAGATTGGTATGGACAGTGGAGGATTTTGCCTTGCTCTGTAGTGGAGGACATGGCCCTCTACCCAGGACCTCTTGAACATATATGGACAATGTTATATAGCAGCAGGACATTGCCTGCCATTGTTTCCCTGCTTTACCTGTGGCAGGTTAGGGTGTTAGGCCTATGTTGTGTCAGGGTGGAGGGGAGTCTTATGCAGAATTTAGATTGTGATTGTGTGGGATGGTTGGGATAGGGATGATCTTTGCCTCAGGCAGGAGGTTGGATTAGATATTTAACCTCTGGAGCTCCCTACTTCCCTCTGACTTCTATGACCTACATAACTGACATACCTAGCAATGAGAAAGTTGAAAGACAGAAGGTGGGTAACAAAATAAGAGGGTGATAGTTGCTGTGAGGGGGGTCATTGTCAAGAACCAGCAACAACACTGTAGGTGAAGGCTTGTCAACCACAGAAAAAAATGCAGGAGAAGATTATCACTTGGGAAGCTAGTGAAGCCAAAGAAGCAAACAACGCTCAGCTGCTGTGATTGCAACCCCTGGGGTGCTGGCCACCCTAGTCATTGCATCATTTGGAAGGCCTACATGAGCATACCTTTGTAAACTTTTTGGAGTTTTGTGTTGGTATTGCTTAATTCATTTCATATTGCCTAATAAATTGTTTTGGTGTTGCTCAGAACATTTGGGATTCAGGGCTGGAATAGCTTCCACCATCACTTTGTTCCATCCATGTCACCCCTTAAGCAAAATTCAGTACAACAATACAGACCCGCGAATGACTGACTAGGCTGCAGTACTGCAGAAAAGGACATGGGGGGGTGTAGCAAACCAGAAGCTGAATATTTGCTAAGAGTGCCCTATTGTTACAAAACGAGCCAATAACACATTAAACTGTATTAACAGAAGAGTCGTTTTCAAGTCATGGAGAGCAATTTTTCCACTCTATTCAGCACTGGTAAGGCTTTATCTGGTGTACTGTGTCCAGTTTTAAGCATCACACTTCAAGAAAGATGTGGAAAACTTAGAAAGAGTCCAGGGGAGAGCAACACAAATTATTAGGGGACTAGGAAATATGACAAAACTAATGCCCGTAAGAACTGAGAGTCTGGAGAAGAGAGGACTTGACAACACCCTTCAAATATCTGCACCCATTGTTGGTAGAAGACAGCAAGCCTGCCCTCTTGTCACATAAGCGCATAATACCAGATCATTGCGTACCATTTATCATCCGTCAGACTCAGATTAATGCTTTTCCTGTCAGTATTTCTGCACACTTTTCAACTTCCTTCTCATCTATTGTACCCAGCAAACTTACAGCAATGCCTGCTTTATCAGGTGGAGTGCAGCCTGGTGGTAGTGACTGAACAGTGTCAATGAAATGTTTGTTTTAGACAAGACATATGGGAGAATTTGTCGTATAAATGAACCGACCAGTCTTTTCATCTATGGAGTCTTCCTGCAATCTGCCTGTCCTGATTACAGATTCATCCAGGGTTTTACTGGAAGGCAAAGGAAGTCTTTTATTTTTATACAGGCAATTTTCTGTCTGTCATGTTTAGTTGCAGCACTGATAATGGTACCAGCAGGTGACTCCAAAGTTGTGGACTCTGTAGATGATGGATACTCACAATTATACTTCGAAGTCTAAACTAGACTGTCAGACAAAATGGTAAAAAAAAAGAAGCAATTGTTACTCCTTGGGTGTGTCTACACGTGCACATTTACTGCACAGTAACCAAAATTACTGTGGAGTATGCATGCACATCTACACATGCATGCCTGTACTGCGCAGTAAATATGGCAATTTACACCAACTTGAGTGTAAATTTGATACCTTCATTATGCAGTTATCAAATGTATGCCTGATTAGTTATCGCACAGTAACGCATATGTAGCTGCCTTACTGTGCAGTAACACTGGGCGTGTCTATGTGTGCATTTATGCCAGCCTAAATTTACTGCTCAGTAAATTACTGCGGAGTAAGCAGAAAAAGGCCAGCATCTACACATACAGGCATTAAAGTGCAGTAATGCTGTGTGTGGTCTGACTTGGGACTAAAGTTAGTTCCAAGTCAGTCCACACACACAGTGTTACTGAGTAGTAAGGCATCTATACATGCATTGCTGTACGGTAACTAATCAGGTATAAATTTGATATCTGCATGATAAAGGTATCAAATTTGCACTCAAGTCAGCGTAGGTCACCGTATTTACTGTGCAGTATGGGCACGCACGTGTAAATGCGCACCCACACCGTGCAGCAATTTTGGTTACTGCACAGTAAATGCACACATGTACACATGCCTACTGTGTGTGTGGACTGACTTGGGACTAACTTTAGTCCCAAGTCAGTCCACACACAACGTTAATGCACTTTAACACTTGCACGTGTAGACACTGACCTATTCCCACTTACTGCAAAGTAATTTACTGCGCAGTAAATTTAAGATGGCATAAATGCATGTGTAGACATACCCACATGCCCATTGTGTCTTATTCAGGGCACTGCTTTAAAAAAAAATGATATTGTAAATGCAAAGGTCCTTTTACTGCAGCTAGTTGTACTTGGCCAGCTGTTTAAATCTAATTTATTCCAAACACAGTTTTAAAGGGAAAATAATAAATCATAAGGATTATCCAAATGTACTCAATCTCTTATGTCTAGCAATATACTGAAGAGAGTGTATGTCTATGTGTGGGGGGGGAGGAATCATGTGTTTAAATTTTCAAATTCATAAAGTCCTAATAAAACTTTACTTTTAAACAACAAATCTTCACCTAAGTTGTTTGATTATATTAAATAATCATTTAAATATTATTTCAGAAGTCCAGCAGTAACTATAGAAATGGAATAGATAAGTAGTTCCACAATAAACATACCAATTCTATTTTGTAATACAAATATTTTGAGGTACTTAAGTAATCCACCACAGTGACAATTATAAACATAAGTAATCCACCACAGTGACAATTATAACCTAAGTGATCGTTATTAACATAGCAAGGCATGATAGACTGTTCACAAGAACAGGACAAAAGTCAGTTTACTAACCAGCTGATCCAGATTATTGAGACCTGTCCATAGCATCATCTTCAAAGTCATCTCCTGAAGAGCATTTCTCAGAGTATTGTGGCTAGGGCCTTGCATCTCTTTGCTGCAGCCTTTACATGTGACGTGCACTCCTTTTTACCCAGAGGTACAGGGAACTCTTGTCAATATTTTCAAAGCAAGTCTTTTAGGACCTGCAGCCATGGCAGCTTCTTCTCCAGTTCCTCAAGAGTTGCAAAGCTCACTAGAGGTTGCCTTCTGAGAAGCTTTGCCCCTTCTTCCCATGCTGTCCTCATTTCTACCATCGACACAATCAGTATTGCTCCCTATCCCTCTGCCTCCTCCCTTGTGACAGAGCTCCTCTACAGCTTCCCCTCCAGAAAAACTAAAGAACTAAAACTAATCCAAGACTCCTGCTTGGGTAACCCACATACCTCTTGTATACACAGCATTTTGTGAGTTTAGAGGCGAGGAGGGAGGCCATTGAGAAACGAATGGATTTCTGTCCGTACCTGTTTGTGTAGAGGTGCACAGAAACAAACCAAAATATTAACTTGAATGGTACCCAGAAACAATGGCTGGTTGTTACTGGGCCCATCAGTGTTTTTCCATGGCCTGGATTAAGTTTCCCTGGTAGCTGCAGTCATAAATATTTCTGGTTTGAGAAGTGAGGTCAGTAGACCTCATGCAAGAAGAAGCATAAAGCAGGCATATGAAGCTACCCAAATCCTGAGGAGTTATGTGATGGTGTTTCCTGGGGCTCGGGGCACGATCCAGACACTTGTGAGGAGTTTGTCAAGTCTAGTGTAAAAATAGCTCCCCCCCATCGCCCCACGGACTCCAGGCCTTAAAATAATACACGATCTCTTGTGCCACCTTTGTTAAGTTTGTCTTGAAAGTTAGATGTTTGTCTGTGTTTCACCCTTTCTATAGGAAAACATGCAGTAAGTAACTCAAGGTTCTTGACAGGGGCTCATGGAGTCAGGATATTTATTTTTAATCGATATTTTAAGAGACTATAAAAAGCATAATCCTTAAAATATTTTGTATGAAAGTCAATTTTATTTAAACATGTTCGTTTTACAATTTACAATCTAAACACAAATAAAAATAATAACTTTAAAAATGATCAGTTCATCCATCCTGCAGGACCAGAGCAATTTACACTGCGGGAAAGACCTTGTTCATCTAGACCAGGGGATCAGAGACAGCTCATGGCTCAGATCATGCATCCAGAGCCATTTCGCCTGGTTCCCGGAGGGATCAGAACCAGCGAGGTCAGGGATCACCACCAAATTTCCAGCAATAAAGCCCTGCTAGGGATGCGGGGTGGTGGGGTGCATGACAGCACCATTAACTCCTGCTCCACCACTGCTTCCCTCACTGGGTCCAGATCCGCCCCACGAGGAACCCCGAGCACTGGATCTACCCACCAGCTCCTAGGTGAGTTTGTCACCCCGATTTAGCCCAACTCCAGCCTGCTCCAAGCATGAAGCCCCTATTATTCTACCTTGTCCAGCGTTAAGTAACTCAAGCCACAGCTGCTCTCCTGTTTCCCTCTGAAGGTGGCTCAGTTAGGCCAGGAAGCTCTGAGTGCACCCAACATCTAAAACAGCTGTATGACATTTCATTTGAAGGATTTACCTGCGTCTGCTCTTCAGGTGGGGTGCAACATCCAGCGTCTCCCTTCCTCTGCAATAACAAGTGGCTCAGAGACTTTCAGGATGAAGGAATATGCTGCTGACAACAATCACAATCTTCACATTAGTCCATGGGTGACTTTTCACCTTTAAAGCTGTAATGCCCCTCCCACGGGTTTTTTTTTGCAAGTGAGGAAAATTGCATAATAAGTATTTTATAGTGTGTGTTAGCATTCAACCCAGAGAGCCCTTGGGAACGGGATGGCAAAAGAGGATGGGGAAACAGACAAAAACAATTTTTTCAGAGTGTGTTAAAACACAGTCTTCCCTTGAACCTGACTGTTCCTGGAATATGCTGTGCCCAGGGGGCCATTCCAGCCCATCTGGGAGTACGCAAGCAAGTCTTATGAAATGTGAGAGAGACAAACTTTTTCTATCATGATGCCAGGATGAAAAACTAAATAGGGAGTTTTAAAAAATCTGCTCCCGCAGAATAAATTGCTGGCAAGGGATTAACATTTGAGGACAGCGTGCAATCTTAACTCGCATAGCATAGGGGACTGGGTGCCAGAGGTTGGTAACATGATAAGGGAGCTTATCACCACTTGGTCACTGCTTGGAATCCAGCCCAGGTTAGCAATGACTGAAAACAGTTACCAATATGAGGGCTCTTGAAATCCCAAGTGGGCAGGAGTCCACGGCATAGCAAACAGCCCTGTCCTTGGCCCTGACTGGTCCCTTCACTGACAGTCTCCGTAGCCTGGCCGAGGTTTAGAGGCATGGAGACTGAACTACCTTTCCATGGGTATGGGAGACTCTGCATTTCTTGTGCATGTGCCGTGCCTGTTGTGGGGCTGATCTGGAGGTTTCTGTTCCTGTGTCATTAACCTTTGCTAACAACAACTTGACTTTAAAAATGTCCCTTCCGGTTGATCACATCTCAGCTGCGCTCAGGTCTTCAGCATGAAGCATCTCTGCCCTTGGTTACATCTAGCAAGCCCCAGGATGTGAATGGGATTGCACAGGAGGAAAGGAGGGCAGAATCTGGGCCGCTGTGCACTCAAGAGAAAAAGCCTTATTCTTTATTAAACCTTTCACAGACAGCCTTTGTGATTGCCCTAGCAATGCCCACACTGAGGTCAAATCAATGGTAGTTTTGCTGGACCTGCAAGATTAGGTCCTTAGAGTGTCTGCTGTGCCCATTCTCCAAAATGTTAACAGAGGAAATTACTGAAGAACTGGTCGTCACGGCTGTATATGCTCATGGTGCGAGGATATACACACTACAGAGAACAAGTGCGTCTAGGAAGAAAGATGCAAAAATACAGTAACTGCTGCTGGGACCTGGAAGACAGTTAGACAGGTTCAGTACCTTCTGTAAAACTTTTCAGATTAGTCCATTATAAGACCTGACAATCTAATTTCCATTAGCATGAGCTGGAATGACACTGGCATTGCAAAGACACAATAGGCAGCCAAATAAATTGCACGTGGAATATCATATGGCATGACTGCTCTCTCATGCAGGGAAGAGGTAGCTTATGTTATCTAAGGCATAGAGTAAAAGTACCATATTTACTTGAATACGAGGTTTTTTTCCCCCAATCAGCATGGGGGAAAAAGCCCCTTGTCTTACATTTGCATACAAGGAAATTTCACTAAATACGTTGTCCATCTTTGAACTGCTGCTAAAAGCAGTATATGCTCAGCAGTGGAAACCGTGACATTGATTAAATGCAGCCAACGCTGATCATGCCAATAAAATACATGGACGTTGGACAAACATGCTGATGGGACAAACATGCTACCACCAAGACAGGTTGGTGCAACCCATCTGAATAAGATATATGTTAGTGTCCACTGAGTGCAGTCCCTTTCAGCACCTATTCTTTTTTAATCTCATGGTGACAAACCAAATTGCATATATTTTTTACTTTATCTTCACTCCGACAGCTGAGCTGCGCCTATCTTTTCCATTTCCCATGAGTCCTGTTTCTTCACCAGCCTTTATGGCCTGGCAAACATCACCAAACTGGGCTCCAAACAGTTCACCCAGAATCCTTCTGTTGGCCCCTCTCTCATATGATTAGTGGTCCCTCCATGAGGTGAAGCTGGACCAGGATGACCTATGTCTCATCTGCATATACATTTTGGAGGATCCCAGGACTCATGATAAAAACACCTGGTTCCAGTGATGAGGAAGGGCTAATTAGGACACGGATCCTTTGTGGGGGGTGTGGCGGGTGCAGAGATCCCACCTCAGGAACACAGCTGGGTATTCGTATGCCTCCGCTGTTTCCACCACGTGAGGCGGGCCAGTAGGGGGTG